CCGTTTTCGATTCTGATATTCCTATTGTATACATGATTGAAATAGTTAATAAAACGTATGACAGATATTTGCGAAAATTTCTTTTCTGTTATAATTTGTACATTTGCCTTATACATTATGCAAAGCAGAAACACGATGTCTTATTTCGATGAATATAAAAGTTTTGCAGTTTTGCATGTACAAAATGATATAGTTCCGCACTTTGGATTACTTTAAAGAACAATACTGAGCTTGTAAAATTACAATCCAAAGCCTAACAAAAAAAATCTAAGCATCAACAGTAAGCGTATAATCATTTCTCACTTCGACGGAATGAGAATGAAGGACTCTGATTGGTCCATTCTTTTATGTCTAATTATTTCTCATTTCGATGACATCGTCCGTCTTTCTTTTCGTACTCATCCTTGTCTTTCATCAGAATCAGATTGCAACGCCATCTATCATAAAATCACGGCACATTTATATATATATATATATATATACTAGATATATATATATATATATATATATATATATATATATGATAAAGTAAAAACACAAATTATATGTTGATTGTTTTTATTGAAAATACTGAATACGGAATTATCGATACATTACAGCCGGCATCTTTGAATTGGCTTTACAGATTAATCCTTTTGTACAATTGAAACATAGCACAAAAAAGAAGTGCGGGATGGTCGATTTCGATAAAAATTAAATTCACTTTATTTTAGCAAGCAAGCTTATTGAACGTTTTATCGATCCCATAGATCATTTGTCTTTATCTTGTAGGGAAAAGATATCTTAATATGGCCGGCGTGAACAGTGTCGTCGTTCATGCCTCCTGTGTGCGTACGGTCGCCAGGCCAATAGGAGGAGAGGATAATTACTCAACTCACTGGCGCTAAGAAAATTCAATAGCACTTTATTGTCTTGAGGTGTCGTGCTGATATTATAATATATGTAAACTCGGATTCGAGATGTCTTGCCCGAGAACAATTTCAAGACTCAAAAGGAACGAAGTCGCGCCAAAGCGTTCATAAATTCGCTTTCCCTACGCTATGACGTACACAACTTATATAGGGAGGGATCGCTAAAAGAAAAAGGACGCTGAGCCTACATACTCCCTCCCGAGTGACAACGTTATACAGCGTAAAGGAAACTGATATATATATTGTATGTAGCTAATGTTAGTCGCTTAGAATGATATTTAACTTAGATTAATGCTAATATCACTTATTGTCTAGGCTGAAACGAACGTTTTTTTTGTAAGGGTACGTTTTTAACTCGGTATGTGATGATTGAGTTGACGGGTCTGTTTGTGACTTTGACGCTCGTTGGTCGGGTACATCATTAACGACTCTGTATCATCGAGCGCGAAATACGCTGGTTTTAGTCTCTCTACTGATATATTGGTTGTTTTTCCTTTGATATCTAAAGCGTATACTCGATCTCGCTGTACGACTCTATAAGGACCGGAGTATGGCCGTTCTAATGGCCGTTTGACCTCATTTCGAACAAAAACATGTGTGCATGTAGTCAAATCCTTAAAGTAGAAAACGCGTTTTTTGTACTTGTGTGTAATTGGCACTGGTTTACATTCTCGCATGAATGTGCGGAAATCTACGAATATTTGAGGATTCAGAGTAAAATCGCCTTCTGTTACAAATTCTTCGGGGATTTGCAATGTTGTTCCGTATAAAAATTCGGCTGGAGAGGCACCTGTGTCCAGTCTAATTTGAGTACGCAATCCGAGTAGAACCGTAGACAGTACGCCAATCCAATTCCGAGATCCGCGACACATGATCGCAGTTTTAAGGGTGCGGTGCCACCGCTCAATCATTCCGTTGGCCGCGGGGTGGTACGCTGTTGTGCGAATTCTATTGCAACCGATCAACTGGAGGAGGGCTTTGAAGATTTGACTCTCAAATTGGCTACAGTGATCGGTAGTTAAAATCTTGGGAACGCCGTAGCGTGCTATCCGGTGATCGTAAAATGCACGGGTTACAGTCTGCGCGGATATGTCCGAGATGGGAATAGCTTCAGGCCATCTTGAGAAACGGTCTATAATGGTTAAACAGAAACGAAATCCTTGACATAACGGTAATGATCTTATTAAGTCCATGTGGACGTGATCGAAACGTCCGTCCGGTGAAGTCTGCGGGTAAGAGTTTAACGTGCCAAGATATTTTCGATTATTGGCAGTCGGTATAGTTTTTGGCCCAATTAGCAATGTCGCGATGCATGTGTGGCCAAACGTATCTTTGACGGATAGTTCGATCTGTGACTTTAGCACTAGGATGGGCAGGTGCATGAAACATGTCGAATACTTTTTTGCGCAACGAAACCGGTATATAGGGTCTGAACGATTCGCCTGACATTTCGCAAAATATGTGTGCGTTGTCTGAGCCGAATATAAGTTTTTTAAATTTTAACGACGTAGTTGTCGACGTAAGCAGGCGGTAGTTCCGGATCGTTTTTTTGGAGTTCCGCCAGTTCGAGTAATTCGATTTCACACGGTAAACGCAGCGCTTGAATTTGTGACAAGCAGTCCACTACTATATTTTCCTGGCCTGTAATGTGCGTAATGTTAGTAGTAAATTGCGAAATGAATGATAACTGGCGAAGCTGTCTTGGAGACGCTTTTTCCGATCATTGATTAAATGCGTGCACGAGGGATTTATGATCCGTCAGGATTTTGAATTATCGCCCTTCGAGGAAGTGATGGAAATGCTTAATGGCTTCGTAGATTGCGGTTAGTTCGCGGTCATAAGCACTATAATTTTTTTGAGCGGGCGTGAATTTTCGTGAAAAGAATGCTAGCGGTTTCCAACAATTTGAAAAACGCTGTTCAAGAGCTGCTCCCATTGCAAAATCGGTAGCATCGGCTACCAAACGCGTTTCGGCGCTAGGCGAAGGATGCACCAGCAACGCGGCGTTAGACAAACTTTGCATTTCACGAATGCGGTTTCCGCTTCGATGGTCCACCGAATAGCGCGTTTATTATTTTTGCACGAGCCTTTCAGGAATGTGTGTAGAGGTGCTTGGATGCTCGCTGTGTTGCGAAGGTAACTGCGATAAAAGTTGAGAATGCCGAGGAAACGGCGCAAGTCTGCGCGATTGATTGTAGTTTAGGGAACCTCTGTATTGCGCTGACCTTCTCTGTCGTAGGTTTGCAACCGGACTTGTTAATGTGATGTCCCAAGAAAACTAATTCCTCAACGCCAATAACGCACTTGCTCAAATTTAAAGATAGGCCATATTCCTTGAGTCTGGACTATGGACTATGCGTAGATGATGCTTGTGTTCATCCACGGTCGCGGATCAAAATATCGTCAATGTATGAAAATGCGAAATCGAGATCTTTTAGTGCTTGGTGTCGCGAGCGCCGAGAACGCAATCACGCTCACCGCTGACAAAGCGGATTGCGGCAAGCGATACTTTATCCGACGAATTATTATTTTACCAAGCGATAGCGATTACCAACGCTACCGTGCTAATCACGCAAATATTGTGTAATCGTTCCACGTGAAGCAACTGTTAACCGGGTTGCGCGGCCCTTACGCGGAAAACCGCCGCGCGACCCAGAAATATACCGCGAACGCTGACGAACATGTTGATGACACGGCAAGGACCGGCCGCCTGGAACAGGATAAAAACGGAAGACCGATACTAGGAGAGGTCTCGTCGAGATCCGCCGTGCCGTCACGTCTGTCGCGGTCCGAATTAAAAAGGACAATCTGTACCAAGTGTTAATAAAGTTTATTTAGTATCGAACAAAGTGGTGAGTGCCTCTTTCCCGCCGACTCCTTGATCGATCCCCGAAACGACCCGCACAACATTGGTGCAAATAACGCTGAAACATCTGTGCGGCGTTACGGAGTCCGAAAGTCATCACAGTAAATTCGTATAACCCGAACGGGTTGACCGCGGTTTTTGGTATATTCTCTTCCGCGATAGGTACTTGGTTGTATGCTTTGAATAAATCTAACGAAGAAAAAATGTTCTTTTTATGTAAGTTTGCTGAAAAGTCATGCAAATGCGGTATGGGATATTTATCCGGGACTGTCACTGCATTGAGACGACGATAATCCCCACAGATCCTCCATTCACCCGTTTTCTTCGGGACTATATGAATAGGGCTGGCCCATGGGCTGCTAGAGGGTCTGCATAGACCGAGTTGGACCATGCGTCCAAATTCCGCTTTGGCTGCCTTTAATTTATCCGGCGGTAATCTTCGTGGGCGTTCAGCGACCGGAGGAGACCAGAAGTAACAATGTGATGATTCACAGCACGCGGCGAAAATGCGCGATTTTGTGCGATTCCCGTGACTTCAGGGAATTCCGCAAAAATGTGCGCAAACTTAGTTGAACGGTTGATGATGGAAATTTTTAACACGGGTGTCGCTATAATCCTCCCTCTAACGGAAAGAGTAGTAGACTGGTCGATCAGTGTGCCTTCGTGCAAATTAACTGTTAGGCGATAATGTTTTAATAAATCGGCGCCTATTATGGCGAAAGGTATATTCGCGACGCAAAAGTTCCACGTAATGGGTCTGCGAAGACCTAGATTAAGTTGTTAGACATAGTTCACCGTAAGTATCGATGCGTGAGTTATTTGCGGAGTACAATTTTAAGGCGGCTGGAGTTCTTTTACTCGTGTAAGACACCGGATACACCGAAATTTCCGCGCCTGTATCTATAAGGAATTTTTTACTGGTGGTTCTGTCAAAAACGTGGAGATAATTCTCAGTGTTAATACCTCCGCCGACCGTCTCCAATCGGGGAGGTTTTTTTAGTTTTTCTGCTTGCTGTTACTCCAAGAGCATGGTGACTAGCACCTGGCGTGCCTTGTCACCGAATTTGCGGTGATAAAAGCACTTTTTACCTGTGCTATTAGGTCGATTACGTTTCTTTGCATTGCGATACGACGGACCGGGCGACTTGAAACGCGCGCGGGATTCCCTTTCGCGCAGCAGTGCATTCATGCCATGCACTAATTGTTTTAAAACCGAAAATTGTTTAAACCGATATCTCGGATGCATCGTTGGCGCCGCTAACGGAGGACGATTGAGCGTGGCAGGCCGACATATCTCCTGGTCCCGAACTCGTCATCGCAGCTGAGTTATTCAATAGTTTCATTGTCATTGAATCCGCGATCTTGTCGGCTATCGTCGCGAACTTGTCGAGGTCAGGCTCATCGATCGTCGCTAAAATTATACGATAGTTTTCCGGCAGCTGTTCCATGAACAACGTTTTAAGAATGCTATCGGTGACTTGGTCTCCAGCCAAATTTTTAAGTTTTAATAAAAAATGGGACGGTTTCTTATCGCCGAGAACCTGTCCCTTTAGTAATTGCCGCAGTTTAGCGCTCTGGGACACCGAGAAAATGTTTAACACACGCTCCTTTAAGGCGTCGTATTTATTGTTCGATGGTGGATTCATGATTAAATCTTTGATGTGCGGAAGAATCGCAGTGTCAGCGTTTGCTAAAATAATATGGAATTTCGTGGTATCATCTACGATTCGCGCTACTTGGAAAGAGGCTTCCACTGTGGCAAACTAAACCTCTGGATCATTAGCCCAGAAAGGCGGAATTACTCTATGAGTTTATTTGATTCGCTTCTTCCGCTATCGTAGAAACTAGACGCAAGGTTGCCAGCCAAAAACACGGTGGATATTCACGAAAATGCGCAGGCGCGAGCGACGACGTATGCGCGCGAAACAGACAAAGGAAATTTACAGGCGTCGGCGTCGTACAAATGATTAACGGTCGGAGAAGTAAACAAGACAAAATACAATGGAATTAAGATTAAAATCGCTTCACGGGTGCCGCTAAGCCAATCTGCAATTACCGCCGTTGATTTGCAATGTTTCAGGAATGCGCTCGTCCTGACGGACGTGAGGCTTCTCTCTAGTTCCTTGGCTCTGTTGATTGCGTCGAAACTGCGGATTTTCGATTCGTCATTAGGTCCTGCCGACCTGGTTCTTCCCTTCACGTTGTGGCAGGCGATGTCTCCGGAAATAACAAATGGCGGGCCGAAGTCTGGCCACGTTCCACGTGCGGCCGTCTGTATTTTCGCAACTGGCGCTTATCGTGGATGAATGCGCTCTCGCGGCTTTATAGACCCGCGGCATGACATAAGCAATGATCGCGACAGAAGCGTTATACGACAGATTTATGACGCAAGTGCTGTACTATCAAGCACTGTTCTACGCGGCACTCGCGGCGTACTAATTCTATATGCGTCAAGTCACTCAGGCACTGCTCTTCCGTTGCCTCAAAAAAATTTCCGGCCTTTAGCTGTTGTCAATGCGAGAATTGTCCGCTTTTTTGTTTTGTGTCGGGTCTCGGTAGTCGTCTCACTGGCGCTAAGAAAATTCAATAACACTTTATTGTCTTGAGGTGTCGTGCTGATATTATAATATATGTAAACTCGGATTCGAGATGTCTTGTCCGAGAGCAGTTTCAAGACTCAAAAGGAACGAAGTCGCACCAAAGCGTTCGTAAATTCGCTCTCTCTATGCCATGACGTACACAACTTATATAGGAAGGGATCGCTAAAAGAAAAAGGATGCTGAGCCTACAATCTTTGCTCTGCAACGCCATCTATTGCAAGATCTGTCAATCTGTCTACAATTACTGCTCTATTTATCATTTTATATCTGCGCCAAACATATATATACGTATAAATCATACACAATCTGTTCAAGTCTCAAACTTTTTTTTCTAAGCTTTCAATCATAAATCCAAAAATATAGTATTGTTTATTCATCTATTCCGAAATGCGGAACGTACTCATTTTGTATATATGAGCTGTAGAATTTTTGTATTAAGGAAACGAAGATCTGATGTAACAGCTGTACGAGCTTAAATTACGTGAATTTTTTAATTTTTTCTTATTTACTTGTTAAATCGATTGTTCCGCATATTCTTTTTGTGCGTATTTTAATTGCCTGAAAAGATTTTGTAATCTGTCAAGCCAAAAGTTCTTTGGTGCACTGTAATGTGTCGGTAATTCCCGTCACTTTAGAATCCCCTTAATTCCAAAATGTCCTCCTGTAGGAGAATCATGAGCCTCCTCCAAAATCTATTACATCATTTTATGAGGAACAACAATTGGAAAAATAACAGTTTTCAAATCAGGAGACTCCCATCTCCTACAAAGAATTCCATCCTTAATCAGAGAATCTCATTGAGACTAATAAATTTTCGAAGAAGTATTTCCGGAAATAATCTCATGTCGAAGAAGGCGTCTGCCTATCTCCTCCTCCGAAGAATTTAAAAGGATCTTCTAACTGTGCTGTCCGCCAATCCTTCGATTCTTTTCCCTCTAAAACTATCCTTCCTAAATATTTTGTTTTCCCTTTGTTTTCTTCCTCTTTTCTTTCCACCCTGGCGTAATAATTGCAATCACTTTCCGCATAGGGGCATCTTGACAATCCATCAGCGTTCTCCCTGCGATTTCCCTGCTCGATGAGAAATTTCGAAATTATATTGCTGAAGATGTTCTAACCAGCGGGCCAATTTACCTTCTAGTTCCCTAAAAGACATCAACCAACGGAGAGAAACATGGTCAGTTCTTATTAAAAATTCTCGTTCATATAAATAATGATGAAAACTTTTCAAAGAGTCAACTATTGCTAACAACTCTCTACGATACTAATACAATAATTTCTAATACAATAATTTCTTTCGGTTTTATTTAACACTTTACTAAAATAAGCAATTACTCTCTCCTTTCCTTTTTGAATTTGAGATAAAACAGCACCAATGTCATGATTCAAGGCGTCAGTATCCAAAATGAATTTTCCTATCTCAATTGGAAAAGACAAGACAGGGGAAGAAATCAAACATCGCTTAAGCTTTTCAAATGCCTCCTGACAATGTTCATCCCAAACAAATCTATACTGTTTCTCCGTCAAGGAAAATAGGGGTTTTGCAATTTGCGAAAATTCTCTAATAAATTTCCTATAATAGGAGCAAAACCCCAAAAAGCTACGGACTTGCTTTTTATTCCGCGGACAGGTTATTCCTGTACGGAAGCAATCTTTTCAGAGATTCCTTCTTCCGAGATTTCATGTCCTAAATATTTAATTTTCCTTCCAAACAGGGAACATTTCTTTGGATTTATTTTTAAATTTGCTGCTCTGAGAGATCTTTGAGAAGAAAAACTTTCTGTAGATTAGCCAACATTTTTTTGAAGGTTTTACTGAAAATCACAACATCATCTAAATAAACCAAACAGATTTTATTTAATATCTGATGAAGAACTCTTTCCATTAACCTCTCAAAAATCGCCGGGACATTACATAATCCAAATGGCATCACAGTAAATTGCCACAAACCGTTTCCTTGAGAATGCTGTTGTTTCCTTATCTTCTGGACGAAGCTTCACCTGCCAGTACCCACTTTTTAAATCCAACGTGGAAAACCAAGAATTTCTTGACCAATTGATCAAGAAGATCATAAATTTTTGGCAATGGGTAACAATCCTTCTCAGTGATTGCGTTGAGCTTTCTGTAATCCATACAGAACCTTAATGTCCCGTCCTTCTTCTTCACCATAACCGCAGCTGAAATCCAAGAACTATGGGATTCTTCAATCACCTTTTGCTGTTTCATCTCTTCAAGAATTTTCTCCACTTCATCTCACATCTGTAAGGGAATGCGTCTAGGAGTCTGTTTAATAGAACTTGATTTTCCTACAGAAATGGAGTGCTCTATTATCGAGCAATTACACGTTACAATATTTTCCGAAAAGATATTTCCTGAAATTCTTCAAGAAATTCAGAAAAATTTTCCTTTTGTAAATTATTCAATCCTACCGAATTCCTATTAAAGAAATCTAATAAAAATTCAAGAACCTTCTTTTCTGGGAGATTAATATGAGAACAAGATAAGTTCTCCTCTTTTTTAGAATCGTCATTGCTAAAGAGCGAATTGAAGATCCTATTCTCGACTTTAACAAGGAAATCTGCTCCCAAAATACATTCATCCTCAATTTTCGCCACATACATCGGAAATTCTAAGGAAAATTTCCCTATCTCGACTTTAACATTTGTTTTAAAATTAATGGGAACTTGTCCAGTTGGATATCTCAATTTTCTATTTCCTACTCAAAACTGTTGCCTTCCTGGCCTAACCATCCTTTTATTTAGAATCGAAACATCTGAGCCCGTGTTAATTTTGAAAACACAATTTTGATCATTTAACCTTCCTTGAAAACAAAAATTTTCTGATTTTCCACTTAAGGGGATCCTAAAGTGATGGGAATTACCGATATATTACAGTACACCAAAGAACTTTGTATTGGCTTGACAGATTACAAAATTCTTTCAGGCAATTAAAATACGCACAAAAAGAATATGCGGGATAATCGATTTAACAAGTAAATAAGAAAAAAATTAAAAAATTCATGTAATTTTAGCTTGTACAGCTGTCACATCAGATATTCGTTTCCTTAATACAAAAATTCTACAGCTCATACAAAATGAGTACGTTCCGCACTTCGGACTAGATGAATAAACAATATTACATTTTTGGATGTATGATTAAAAGTTTAGAAAAACAGTTTGAGACTTGAACAGATTGTGTATGATTTTACGCGTACAGAGAGGAACCTGAGAGCGACCACGTCGGTCTTTTTCGTGACACCGTAAAAATCGCCGTACACTACCGCCACCAACGTCTATAATTGAGCCGTGGAACTACAAGTCACATCTAGTTTGCGATACTACCGATAAAATCATGTCTCGTGAAATAGATGTAGTGCGAGTCCATGCTACATCGACAAATTGTAGATGAGAATGTATATATAATTTTTATATATATATATATATATATATAT